CACTTCGGAGCCGATTCGTGCGCCTTAGCGACGTGCGCCACCGCCACCCTCGCCAAAGGCTGCGTTGCCTTCCTCGTCGGGGTCCTGGTTGACGACCATGGTGCGGAGGCTGTGGCCGCTGGGCGGTGGGTGATGAGGTAGGTCTGCACGAGGAACATGGTCTCCTTGGCCGAGCCATCGTCGACGAGGTCCTCCTCTGGCTGCGACTTGCCCGCCAGCGCTGGTTGACCTCGATCTCCTTCTGCGTGGGCGGGTAGAACGTGGAGATGTCGCGGCGCTGGACATTGCCACCAGGCGACTTTGTCAATGACTTGCCACCGAGTGGATGACGCGCTGGTCGTGGTGCTTGGCGTGATGTGGCAACATCGGGATGACCCTCTCAAAGGTGCTTGTCACCTCCTGCAGGATCTTCTGCCGCTCCTTGGTCTTGGCATCGATGTAGCGGCGCAGCGCCCGGCAGTAGAGGTATGGGTGGTAGCCGAGGATGTTGAGCGTGACCGGGTTGCCCGTGCACATATGCCGTAGACGCGGATGGAGTGCACTTTGCCTTTGTCCATCACCTCGCACGCTGCTGCCAGACATGGTAGATGTAGAGCTCGAAATCCTCCGCCTCCTGGTCAAAGGAGCTCGGGAAGTGCGTTCGCGGCATTGGATATGGCTCACCGGGGTGCCTCGTGTAGTCAGACTCCTTGAACTCGTCGGCCGGGTTCTCCCACTCTTCCTCCTCTCGTTTTCACAATTGCGTCTTCCACTCGGGCTCTCGTCGTATTCGCCCTGCGTACTGGCTATTGGCGTGGGCGCTCGGATCGGGGAGGCGCAGGCGTCTGTCGGGATCATCCGGCACGCTACGCCCCCGCTTGTTGCCCCAACCGCGCTGCATGTTGTTTTGGACCTAGTGACAGAGAGCGGACGGCCGTGGCTTCAAACGGCTTGCGGTGTTCGGGTCGACAAGAGAAAATAGGGCGCGTTACTGTTTCCGATGGCAGGACAAACCATGAGCGCTCGTCATCGGACGCGCCGCCATCGCCACGCCACAATTCCCGACCACGGCGCAATCGTGCGACCACCCAAAAAGGAGCTCACGACCGTTGGCACGCGCAAAGTCGACGCCGCGCCTTGCACATGGTCGAGCGGCAACGCGCGATGCGACTGCCCTAGGAGAAGCGCGCCGAGGCCAACCGCCAGCGACTGAGCAAACAACGCCCGTACAATGCCATGGCGTGCGATTCGTGGGCGCTCGGATTGTGCCTTGGGTACTGAAGAGGTCACCAAGAAGGCGCAGGAGGTGCGCACGCTCTACATCGCGAGCGATGAGGGCACCTGCTTGAGTACTTCTTTGATTGGCGGTCGGCGAATCGAGTGACCAAACCCGAGGCTGACAGCGACATCATCCACGACAAGATCATCCACGGGTGTTGCTGCCCGACGAATGACATTGAAGGTACATCTTACTCGACGTTTTGCTTCTTGTACTTGTGTGAAGGCCACCAAGAATGTGAAGGCCACCAGAACAAAAAGGCCGCCAATGACAACAAGAAGGCATGTTGGCTGTGAGGCTTTCTCCAATTTTTCTGAATGCTGCCCGGCAGGTGCCTCTTTCGACCAAGAGCGGCTTTTGGCTGTCACACATGTCAACAGAGAGCCACGTGAGCTCTCAGCCTCGCTGCCATTGGGGACAAGGACGTCGCCTTTTCTCTTCAACATCGCTTTTCACTCCACTTGTGGCGCTCTTGAGAGGATTGGTTGAGCTGGTTGGGCGGGCGCCCCATAAAACTGGTGGCGAAGCCAGTTTCAATCAAGCACCCCACTCAACCTACCATCAACCCCTCTCACAATGTCTCTCGACTACACTGGTTTCAAGCTTGGCGAGAAGAAGATCCTCAAGGATAAGGAGCAGTTCTTTGACGCGGCCCAAGTACGTTCCTCGCCCCTCCTCCTCCACACATGCACACAACATCTGTACCTCACCACAACGGGCTCGCTTTATCACTTGCAGAAGCAAATCAAGGACAAGCTGGGCGCCGACTGGCAGCTAGTCGTCGACTGGCCTACCATCGAGAAGCTCACCGGCGACACCGGCACCAACGAGCGCGCCAAGAACGAGCGCAAGTACCTTGGCGGGTGCGTCTACCAAAACTACTGCCGCTCTCTTGGCGAAGAGATCTCCAAGTGGGGTGCTGAAATCGTCGAGGCCGTCAACGACGCCATCACCGACAAGAAGATCATCGTCACCATGGACCCGGTCCACGTGGACGCGCGTTACAGCGTGAAGGTGGGCAAGAGCATCGAGGTCCTCATCCAACAGGAGAAGATCTGTTACGAGTATGCGGCCTCAGACCCGAACAGCGTCACCGCCACCGTCGAGAAGTCCCTCTAGTGGCTTGCACCCCCCCCCGCTAACATTCTTGTTCGGCAAACAACTCTTTCGCCACCCAATCAATTTTTCGCCTGAAACAGTTATTTGGTGCCACTGGAGTGCAAAACGCCATGATGACGACACGCTAGCATCATGTCGCTTGGGAGTGCGCAAGTACAGCATCAAGGACCACCACAGAAAGTGGTTTTCCACAATCAGTGCTGCCTTGGGGATGGCGAGGGGGAAATCTCAGCTCAGCTTGGAGTTGACAGGAACGGGGAGCTGAGACTGACTATGTAGTCGGGGGGGCATGTGCTTCCAGTAGAGTTGTTGTTGCTGGAACTCGGCCTCTCTTCTGGAGCTCAGACAAGAATGAGATGAATGAAAGCAGATACCTGGTGCCCATGTGGGAGTTGACTCTGCTCCCTATGACGCCACCACCATCTGCACAAGATGATGATGAACAAGTAATGTGGGAGTTGACTCTGCTCCCTATGACGCCACCACCATCTGCACAAGATGATGATGAACAACTTACTTGATGGAACTTCAATTCTGCTCCTCTTCTTGGTGCATTTGAGGGAATGGAAGGCTGTGATGTGGTGGGCTTGCTCCTCCTCTTCCCAATCCACTTCAGTATCAGGAGAGCCAATAGATCAAGCATGGTGCATATATATTGTCATCATCATCATTGTCACTCAGGTGCTGCTCCAATGCACATGAGATCTTGTCATTGCAGCTAACTCCAATGCACATGATTGTGATCATTGTGTGTATGTGTTTGTGTTGGCTCCATCCAGGCCAAGGCTTGGCTGAGGAATGTTGTGCTTTCTTTATCAACTTCAGATCAGCCGCTCAGACAGAGTGCACCATCAGCTGATGCAGCTTCTTGGACATGGAGCATGAGCAGCAATGTGTCTTCTTCCTCTTCCATCATGTTGTTGTTGTCACCACCTTTGTCATTGTCCCCATCAATTGGATGCTGATTTGCACACCAGCTGCTTGATCTGGAACATGGGAGGAAGGAGGTCTTGAACACTGTCAAGTTCAACTCCAAGACCAGCAATGAGGACACTGAGTTTGCATCACTCAATCTTGTCAACAAGGTCATGCTCCACCTTGGTTGTGCCCAATCCCAGCTTGCCACCACCATCAGCATCTGGCGCAAGGAGAGCTGCATGCCCTTCAACCACATGACCTACCCCACCACTTGAGATGCTTGATGTGTTTGAGACCTTCTTCTCCAAGATGCACACTGGCAATGGCATCACTGTTCCAATGCTCAATGACATGCAGTATGGTGCCACACTTGATCAGACTGAGCAGTTGTTCAAGGCCTCTGGCATTGAAAAGCCTGACAACGATGGTGACATCATGTATCTGCTGCACATACTCACATGGACCCCCAGCTGCCTGACCAGCTGCAAGCCAATGTCACAATTGATGAAGCCATCAGTCTTGATTGGTGCACCTGCACCCAGATTCACATGGGAGCACATCAAGGCCAATCCACTTCTCTCCTCACCACCTGAGTGCTGGCTGGCCTGCACATGATATGCAGTCTGCCCCTGCTCATGTGTCTGAGTTGTTGGTATGCCTCAATGAGGGTCTCTGTCCTGGTGCTGGCAGTGCACACCACCACTTGTCTGGACTGGTGGTGCTCCACCAGTGCAAAGTTGAGCTTGAGCATGTTGTTCTGTGCCTTGGCTTCCAACACCATGTGGCTGGCCATGTTGTGAATTTGGCATGGTGATTCTCCTTAGGCTGAAACTCTGTCTAGCTTCTTGACCATTGTCTTGGGGTTGTCTTCATGTGACTCCATGACAATCTGAAGATTTTCCTCAAGTTGAATGAGGATTGTGCCTGTGGCATGCTGCTTGAGATGGCATACTTGACAGTCTTTCTCTTGAAGCTGATTCTTCTGCAACTGTTTCTGGCCTTTGTTTCTCCAGTTACAAGCCCCAGAGTCCTTACTTGTACTGAGATGTTCCTCCAGTATGGAAGGTAGTTGGAGGGGTCCTGTGAACCAGGTGTTGATGAAAAAGGGTCAGTATACCTTTTTCATATGGCAGAAAATGAGGAATCTGCACACCATAATCATGCAAATAGGTCATATTGGTCAACATTGCTGTACAGCTGACCATTACCAGCATGTACAGAATTGATATCAACTACAAAATTCACTCAACAAACAGAGGCCATTTCTTGCTGTTTTCTCTCTCACTCTGCAGCACTTTCACCTCGTTCTCACCTTGAAAAATGGGTACACCACAAGTGAGAGTTAGTGACACTTACCTTTTTCATGAACTGGTTTGTAGGACATACTTCAATCCTTCAGTTGTCATAAGCAAAGCAGTTGATGTCATGGTGTGGGTCCATAACCTGTTGAGAGTATGTGATGTGTGAAAGGAAAGAAAGAGAGAGACAATGACCATGAATGCAGCAAGAGCCCTCAACAAGCAGCTTGTGGCCCTCTTTCACACATTCATGCAGCACATCCAGCAGGCAACTCCACTAATTGCACAGCTAACACTGCCACCTGTTGATTGAGTCTGCATGCTGCTTCATGCTTGCAGCTTTGCACCTCAGTCTTGTGCCCTTGGCCTGCCACCCGCCCCCCCATAGCCTTAAAAATGGCAATAAATGGGGCAAGTAGCTTTCCAGAACAACCACACGGGCTCCTCTGTTTGCGTGTTTGCGCCAAGCAGCCGCTTCTTTCTTTGGGCCATGTCAGGCTAAGGGTGCTTCACATTCCAAGCTGCAGGCCTAGCGTGAGGGGGCACGGCGGGATAGGCCAACCGCCGCCCCAGTCAGCCAATCACGTTGCGGCACAAGCTCGGAGGTTGGTCGTGCGCCCAGGCTTCGGCGGGAAAGGACGCGTTTACACTCGAGAAGAGCCAGCTACAGCACAGCAATCGAGAACTAAATCTTGATGAGAAAGAGCGAAAGCGAAAGCGACGAAAGAACCAGGCCGCGCCTCTCGTTCCACGGAGGATGGTCGGACCGTATTGTGAGCACCATCTTCTTCATGGTCTTGTTGGCGGTGCCCAACCCCTGGCCGGCCAGTAGTCCGCTGCGAGTCCACCCTGCCAATTACCACAAGGGGAACCACAAGCTGCAAGACCCCCCCGACCAGTCCCGGCACGCTCTACCTTCGTGGCTGTCTGGTACTCAACCAAGGCGAGGTACGAACAATAAACAAATACACGTAATAGCTTTGTGTTAACTTTTTATATCAATTTTTAAAAATTGTTCAAAGGAGCGCCAAGTGCGGTGCCGGAGAGATAGTTGTGCCCTCGGTGAAGCGCGCGACCTTCTCCGCATCCACCCTAGAGGAGTGAAAAACAGCATTCTCTACGACCCTCAATCTCCAGCCCCCCTCGACCAGGCTCTCCAGTTGGAAATCAGGGTGCGTTCGACACACACGACACATCGCGACACGCACGACGCACAGACTTACGCGTTGTTGTGCCACTACCGCGACACATAGACCACCTGTTGCTCTTCCCACCAAGAGGGCCGTGGCTTCCGCGTGCGCCTGTGGATCGAAGACGAACACGGGGTAGTTCTCTACCCCGTAGGCGAGCTCGACTGTACGATCCCCCAACGACCAGCGGGCTCTGCCGCTCAGCAGTGCTGACGTCACCAGCGCGCCTGGAGGCACTCACACCACCACGACACTACATGTGTGTTGATGTGTGCGCAGTGGGCGAAGTCATCACCAATCGCGGCAAGGCCCGTCGGCAAGAGCCGGCCGAGCAACGCCGCCGAAGCAAGCGGCAGCGCTCGACGAACGAGTCCGACGCCCAAGCCGACCGACCACCACACGCCCGCGAGGGACTTGCGCAGCACCAGACAGAAGGCCTCGCGTCCGACCAGCACCCTTCGAACCCAGAACCAGGGCCAATTGAGCTGACCGGGTCCACGACCACCAGCCCCGCAGGAACCCCACAGTACGGCAGCTTTGACTGGAACCCTCCCATCTGTTCCATTTCCTACGTCGACAACAACAGCATCGACGACGACAACAGCCACGCAGCACCACTGCGAGACGACCGCTTCATCACACCCTATCCGCACCCGAGTGTCGTGCGACCCGACCCGCTCGCTCTACCGACGTCTGCCCCTCCTCAAGGAGAGGCGGCTCGCGAAGACGAGACGGAATTCGACACCAATCAGTTCTTCAACTAAGCGAAGGCAAGCTTGCCACGTACGTCACTCGCTTCACTCTCTTTACTCACTCGTTTGAAGCATTCACGCAACTGTGCGATATACTGATTTGATCTCTCATTCGCGATCACCCAACAGGCAGCTATCCACACGCAAAACATTCCCAACACGCAACACTCCACCACGATGGT